ACTTGAGCCCAGGAGTTCCAAGCTGCAGTGAACTATGATTGCACCACTGCAGTTCAGTCCCGACAGGCAAGACCCTGTTTCAAAACAACAAAAACTGAGATTTACCGTCACTTGAGAAGAGTAAGCCTGAAGTAAGAGCGAATTTGGTCTATGGAATCAGCTCAGTGTTGGATGCGTTGAGTTTGAGAGACCCACTAAACACCCAGGCGATTGGGTATTTGATCCTGGAATTCACTCTTACCGTTTTTTGGTGATTTCTTGAATAATTAAAGTCAGAACGGAATCCGAATCCAGGGCCTCAGTTTCCTCCTCCAAAAAATGGGGACCATAATACCGTCAAGCGCTAGGTTGTCATGAGGCTGGGGGCACAGGGCAGGAACTGAGGTCATCTGTCGCGGTCTGCGGCTCGGGAGAGGAACGGAGGCTGCGCTCTCAGCAGGCAGTGTCCGTCTGTCCGTCTGCCCCTTCCCCCAGCTTCTGGCCGCGGTGGAGAAGCGGGAGGGAAGATTGGGTCGTTACCCCGTCTTCCCCGGCTCTGAGCTCGATTTCCTCCTCGGGGTTTGCCTAGGCCAGACTGCTGATGGAAACCAGCTGCGCCAGGCGCGGAGGCGCCCAGGCCCCTCCTCGGCGCCGGCGGACCCTGATGGGGGGCGGGGAGCGCCTTGGCTCCCCTCCCATCTTCCGCAGCCCGGCCTGGGGCCCTGGCACGTCCGGCGTGCCTGATGCTTTCCAGATGTGGGCTCGGTTTCCCTCCTCTTATCTGGCCCCGTTGCGCCCGCAAGAGGAGGGGGGAGGGGAGCTAGGATCCGAGACGCAAATCTCTACCAGAGACTCGGGTCAGGGTCCCCTCCCCGCCCGTCTGCCTTCCCAAATTTCGGTGAAAACCGAATTAAGGTGGGCTGACTGCGGTAGAGGCGCTCCTCCCCCACCTCCACGTCTTCCCAGGGCTCCCGCCTTCTCCAGGGCCAGAAAGGACCCCTAGCCCCGCCTATCGGGACACGCCCCCACCAGGACACGCCCCATCTACAATCAGGGACGTGCCCCTTAAATCCCCGCCCCCGAACCCCGCCAGTTCGGTTGTGCCTCTGCCGACCCCGCCTCCGCCGTCGGGTCCCCACTGGAAGGCGCCCTCTGTGCGTCTCTTTTGTCTCTCTGGGCGCCTCTGCCTCCGTCTCTGTGTGTCTGTGTCTTCGTCTCTGTCTGACTCTGCATTTCGGCTTGGGTGTCTCTCCAGCCCGCGCCTCTCTGTGTCCTGTCTCTGCCTCTCGTGCCCCTGTCTCTGCAGCGCCCTCCCCGTCTCTGTCTCTCTGGGTCCCTAGCTCTCTCCCTCTCTAAATCTGTCCCTATACTGTGTACTGTCCCTATGGCTCCCGGCGTCCCTCTGACTCTCCCTGCATCGCTCTCCCACGTCTGTGAATTTCTCTGCGCCCGTTTTCCGTCCTCTCCCTCCAGTCCCTGACTCCCTCCTGTGCCTCCTCTGGTCCTGAGTCTCCCCTTCGTCTCCCGCCGGGCCCTCCTCCCTGTGGCCACCTCCTCCGGAGACCTCGTGGGGCCGGTGGGCGACTGGGCGTGCTGCGCGCGCCCTCATGTGGCCGGCAGGGGAGTGCTGGGGAGCGAGGGACGCTGGTCTTCGCGGTGACACTGGGAAATGGCGTGTGACACCGGGAGACTGTGTCAGTGTGTCCTGACGTGAGATGGTGTGTGACACCGGGAGATGGCGTGTGCCACCGGGAGACTGTGTGTGTCCTGACGTGAGATGATGTGTGATGCCAGGACACTGTGTGTGTGTGTGTACTGCATGATGGTGTGTGACATCTGAAGAGTGTGAGTGTGCACTACTGTGAGTTGGTGTGCAATGCCAGGATCAGGACACCCTCAGTGTGTACTGCCAGGATGGCGTACTGGTGAGATGGTGCGTGATGTTGGGAGTCTGTGTGTGACTGATATTGTGAGATTATGTGCAATGAGAGGCTGAGTGGGACTGCATATGTCAGAGATGACATGTCACTGGCTGTGACACTGTGAGATGATTGGTGATGCTGAGAGATGGTGGGTGACTGTGTGTGCGGATGAGAGGTTGTGTGTGATAGGGTGTGGGAGAGACACTCTTTGGGGCTCTGTATGTGACACTGAGAGACCATCTGTGGGAGTGAGACATCGGTGTGTGTGAGGGGGCAGTGTGTGTGACGGTGAGCATACGGTGCTGTGTGTCACACAAGCAGACTGTGAGAGAGAGCAAGACTGACGACCGGTGTATACTGAGAGGTGGTGTGGGCAGTGTCATGAGAGGCTCACGGGGGCCTGGGACAGACTGAGTGTGTCAGACAGTTTGTGTTGGCCACACTGTGTATGGCTTGTGAAAAAGTGCATGATTTGGGCACAGTGCTGTAATCCCAGCACTTTGGGAGGCTGAGGCAGGAGGATCCCTTGAGGCCAGGAGTTTGAGACAAGCCTCGGCAACATAGGGAGACCCTCGTCTCTTCCAAAATAAAATTAAAAGAAGTAAGCCAGGTGTGGTTACGCATGTCTGTGGTCCCAGCTGCTGGGCAGCTCAGGTAGGAGGATTACTTGAGCCTGGGAGGTGGAGGCTGCAGTGAGCTATGATCGTGCCACTGTACTCCACCCTGGGTAACAGAGAGAACCTATCTTGAAAAACAACAACAAAACCTAAAACTGTGTGACTATGTGTGACACTGAGCTCGTGAGAGATGGCAGTGTTGTGACAGCGAGTGTAAGTGTGTGCAGCTGTGCAGGCCATTCAGAATCGAGAGTGTGAGGGAGGCCCTGTGTGTAGAAGGCAAGAAATTATGGACAGGCAGGAGTCAGTGTGTGAAACACTGCGAGATTGTGTGGGACTCTGTGAGACAGTGAGCCATCGTGGGTAGCCAGGTATGACACCAGGAGATGGGGCGCGTGCATGTGTGTGACAGGGACAGACTGTGTGTGGAGGGAATGTGTCAGATGCGAGTGACATCAGGAGATTGTGAGAATGTGACCTTCCGTGGGTGTCACTCAACAGGCAGCTGTGTGTTACGATGAAATACTATAAAATAGTGTGTACTTGACAGGTTGCATGGGTAATTACATGCGATACAGTCTCAGTGTCTGTGAGACACAGACAGTGTGAGACTGGGACAGGGTGTGAGACTGAGGGAGAAGTTTAAATGGCATACCAGGCGGGGCGCAGTGGCTCATGCCTGTAATCCCAGCATGTTGGGAGGCAGAGGCAGGTGGATCACCTGAGGTCAGGAGTTCGAGACCAGCCTGGTCAACATGGTGAAACCCTATTTTTAGTCTCTACTAAAAATACGAAAATTAGCCAGGTGTGGTGGAGTGTGCCTGTAGTTCCAGCTACTCAGGAGGCTGAGTCAGGAGAATCGTTTGACTTCTGGAGGTGGAGGTTGCAGTCAGCCGAGATCCTGTGACTCCAGCCTGGGCGACAGAGCGAGACTCCATCTCAAAAAAAAAAAGGGGGGGGCATGCAAATGTGTGTGACATTTGGAGATATTATATGTGACACTGTGACAAACTGCTGGCACGTTTGATGTCCTGAGACGGTTTATCTGACTGTGCAGCCCTGGGGTTGCCATTGGTGGTGGCTGTGTGTGGCATTTGGGGCGACCACGTGAGGTGGTGTTGAGCAAGGTGATTTGTGAAACTGGGTGGTGCTACCGCATAACAGAGCAAGATAGTGTGTGTCTGTGTGTGAGGGACAGTGAGCAGGAGGCTGGTGGGGTGACACTAAGGTGGTGAGTGTGGCTGAGTGAGAGGATCTGTGGGACACACTAGGGAGGTTTGTGCGACTGTGGATCAAATGCAGCAAGGCCGGGGGCCGTCTTTTCTGGTAAGTGTGAGAGAGGCACAGAGAGTCACAGAGGACAGCAGCGGCAGAGGCACAGGGAGAGGGACAAAGATAGGACCGCCAGACAGGAGAGTAGGCCCAGAGAGGCAGCCCCAAGGTGGGGGGCAGGGGACAGTGGCAGTGGGGACGGTGGCTGCAGGAGGAGGCGGGTCCATAGGGGCTGCACCCCAGGGGAGGGGGCGGGACAGGCTGGAGGGACCCAGACGCTGCTTCTCAGCCTCAGTCACCGCCACCAGCTGGCCCTGAGCAGCAACAGGTAGGAAGCTCCGGTCCTGGCGCCACGGCTGCTCCCTTTGCCTGCTCCATGCCCACCATCTTTCACCTGGGAATGAATCAATGAATGAGTGAGTGAATGAATGGCCTTATTCTTCTGCATCTCCATCAGCCTGTGTCTTGCTTTGTTCCTCTCTCCCAGGTCCTGGATCCATCTCTCCCCAACCCTCCATCTGCTTCTCTGTCCTGTCCCTTCTGTCCTCTATCCCTCTATCTCCTCGTCTCTGTCCCTTTATGCCCTTGGTATCTCTCTGCTCCTTCCTCCATCCCTACTTCCTCCATCTCCCCTTCTCTCTCCTTCCCCTCTCCCTCCAGCTCCCCATCCTCTCCCACCCCACACCCCCTCCCTCCAGCTCCCCATCCTCTCCCACCCCACACCCCCTGCCTCCATCTCCCCATCCTCTCCCACCCACACCCCTCCCTCCATCTCCCCATGCTCTCCCACCCCACACCCCTCCCTCCAGCTCCCCATGCTCTCCCACCCCACACCCCTCCCTCCAGCTCCCCATGCTCTCCCACCCACAGCCCTCCATCTGCCCTGCTCTGTCCCCTCTGCCCCTTTGTCCCCTCGGTTCCAGTCGCCTTGTACCCCCCGTTCCTTGCTCCCCCCTCCGTTCGTCCTATTTTTCTCCCATCACCTCATCCATCCCCCAGCCTCTCCCTCTCAGTATCCCTAGTCTCTTCATTCTCCCGTGCCTCAGTCTCTCCCTCATTACTTTGTCCCTGCCTCTGCGCCCCCCCCTTGTCCCTCTGTCCATCCGATCGGCCTCTCCTCGGGTGCCACGGTTGGGCTCCCCCAGCCCTCTCCCCTGGCTGCTAATGAGCAGAGGAGCCTTTGAGGTGGCCAGGGCTGGGGGGGGGCTCCCTTAGGGGGGCGGAGGGGGCAGCTGCTGCCAAGGCCCTAATGAGACCCCCTCTGTGCCCCTCCTGCCGTGATCTTAATTCTCGGTTCTCCCTGGAGCCACCGCTAATTGGCCTGGGGAGGGGCCCCCTCCTGGCTCCCACTCTGCCCCCAGAGGGTGAGGACACCTGGATGCTGATCCAGCACCTGTGGCCCTGTGCTTCTGTCTCAGCCTCCCATCTGTGCGCCCCTCCTTCCCTCCCTCGCCCCTCCCTGCTCTCGCCCCACCTGCCTTAGGTACCTCCATCTGTGCGCCCCTCCACCGCTCCTCTTGTTCCTCCTCCTCATCTGTCCCTCCCTCCACCTGCCTCTGGCCTTCCCATTCACGCGCCCTTCCACCTTCGCACCTGTTACCGGGGCCTGCCCCCTCGCCCCCACCTCAGGACCCACACGTATCCTAACCTGCCCCCACTCCCGCGCGGCTTTTAACCCCTTCCCCGCCGCAGCCATGTCCAACAACATGGCCAAGATTGCCGAGGCCCGCAAGACGGTGGAACAGCTGAAGCTGGAGGTGAACATCGATCGCATGAAGGTGCCGAGTCGTGGGGGCGGGAACAGGGCGGGGGTTCTGGGCCTGGGGTCTGCTCGGCGCTGGGTCGGCCCGGAGCCCCAGTGCAAGTATGCCTCTTGCAAAGGGGCTGGACAAGGGGCGGGGCCAGGGCAGGACGGGGAGGGGCCTGCGTAGGGGCGGGGCAGGGCGGGAGGAGGTGCCAGGGCAAGGGGCGGGGCCTAAGGGGGCGGCCCCGGGGAGCCGGGCGGGGCGTTGACATCTCCACCCGGGTGCTCGCAGGTGTCGCAGGCAGCGGCCGAACTCCTGGCTTTCTGCGAGACGCACGCAAAAGACGACCCGCTGGTGACGCCAGTACCCGCAGCAGAAAACCCCTTTCGCGACAAGCGCCTCTTTTGTGTTCTGCTCTGAGCCCTCCGGACAGCTTACCCTCCCCTGCCAAAGTATGGATCTAATAAACTTGGTCACTGTGGTGGTGCCTGTGCTTTCGGAGAAACTGAGGCACACACTGAGCTGGGGGCCACCGTGGGGGAAGCTGTGTCCGTTCTCATTCCTTCCGAGTGTGCGTGTTGGGGGTGGGGGTGGATGTGGAGAGAGTACGACTCCACTAAAGCCTCGGAGGAGATGCGTATTCCGTGCTGTCTCCTCCACGATCGATCCTGAACTTAATGGTCCCTACAGCCCCAGAAAGCGGCAGATTACTTGTATGATACCCAAGAGGAAACTGAACCAAAAGAAGTCCCCTATTCAAAGTCACAAAGCTAGGAGGTAACAGGGCGTGGATGGGGTCCTTCAGTGCTTCCTGAACCCCTCTGCTGGCCTCTTTTCTCTCCTCCCCAATGGGTTGGACATTCTTAGGGTCCCAGTCCCCATCCCACACTTCTCACCCCTGAACCACTCCTTTTTTCACACCTGGTTCCCCTCTACCACAGGCTCACTTCTGTCCTAAAGCACTGCACTTTTTTCTTTGCTCACGTGTTCATTCATTTATTCTTCCAAACACTCCTTGAGTACCTACTCTCTGACCGGCCCTGTGTTGGGCAATACTAAGGACATAGCTGTGACCAAGACAGCCCTGGCCCTGCCCTGCCCTGCCCTCTTGGGGCTGAGAGTCCAGGGTGAGCAAAAGACCTGTCCCCAGATGGTGAAAACCCAGAGTGGGCAGCCCTAGGTGGGGAAGTGCAGAGGGAACTCCTGACTCAGCACAGAGGTAAGGGAGGGCTTCCTGGAGGAGGCAACGACTGAGCTGGAACATCGTGAGAGTAAAACTTGGTGACCCAGAGAAGACAGAAACATGGCTAGAGCATGTGTGTGTGTGTGTGTGTTTGTGTGTGTGTGTGTAATTATTTTTTGAGATGGGGTCTTGCTCTGTCACCAAGCTGGAGTGCAGTGGCACGCTCTTGGCTCATTGCAACCCCTGCCTCCCGGGTTCAAGCGATTCTCCTGCCTCAGGCTCCTGAGTAGCTGGGACTACAGGTGCACACCAACATGCTCGACTAAATTTTGTATTTTTAGTAGGGACGGAGTTTTACCATGTTGGTCAGGATAGTCTCTAACTTTTGATTTCATGATCTGCCTGTCTCAGTCTCCCAAAGTGCTGGGATTACAGGCATGAGCCACTGCGCCCAGCTGGCTTTACATGTTTAATGTTCTTGGCCAGGCGCGGTGGCTTACACCTGTAATCCCAGCACTTTGGGAGGCTGAGCCTGGCGGATCATGAGGTCAAGAGATCGAGACCACCCTCGGCAAACATGGTGAAAACCCATCTCTACTAAAAATATAAAACATTAGCCAGGCATGGTGGTGCACTCCTGTAATCCCAGCTACTTGGGAGGCTGAGGCAGGAGAATTGCTTGAACCTGGGAGGCGGAAGTTGCAGTGAGCCGAGATTATGCCACTGCACTCCGGCCTGGCGATGGAGCCAGGCTCCATTTAAAAAAAATTAAAAAGATGTTTTTGACTTGGCTGCCAAATTAAAAAACAGGGATGTTTCACATGGCAGTCCGTATTTATATGGAATCACAAAGTCTTCTCTGGAATTATAAGGACTTCTCTGGAATTGTAAGGTCTGGTGACTCAAGGCTGTAAGGTAGGACCTGGGGTTTCCAGCTCACCAGAGTCCACACCATGCCCGATTGTCTCCTAGTCAACGAAGCTGGGGGTCAGTTGCCATTTAACCTGAACCCTAGGTTGTGGGCTTCTTCCAGAGAAATGAAAAATGAAATGACTGGGTACAGTGGCTCACACCTATAATCCCAGCATTTTGGGAGGCCGAGGTGGGCAAATTACTTGAGGTTAGGAGTTCAAGACTAGCCTGGCCAACATGGTGAAACCCCATCTCTACTAAGAATAATTGGCCAGGCATGGTGGCATGCACCTGTAATCCCAGCTACTCAGGAGGCTGAGGCAGGAGAATCACTTGAGCCTGGGAGGTGGAGGTTGCAGTGAGCCGAGATCACACCACTGCACTCCAGCCTGGGCAATAGGGTGAGACTCCATTTGAAAAAAATGAAAATGTTCTGTGCCTCCAGTGAAAATGGGGAGAATGCAGGCTTGGGAAGCTGTGGCTCTGGCCAGCTTTTTTATCTGGTTGGCTCAAGGGCCTGAGAGTCACTCCCTCTCCTCTCCCTCATCTCCTCTTACCTTGTCTAATACTCAGGGTCCCCGGCTTGGGGCTGGTGGAGGCTGGACCCTGGGTCTGGCTGGAGGTGGCTTGCTGGGCCTCCCCTCCACAGGGGGAATGTGCACAAGTCTGCTCCATTATTGACATCAAATTCGGGTCCCCTGGGTCCCTACTCTAAGCTTCCTGTAGGATCCAGGCAGGAGCATCTGTAATTACATCTCCCTCCTGCCTCCCACCTCTGAGCCCACTTGGCTCCGGCCTGGTTGCATCATGTCTGTGGGAGCCCCTCGGGAGACGGGGGACGGGGAGTGAGCCAGGGATGAGCTAAGGTGTGGAGGAGGAGGGAGGAGAGAAGCTGAGCGGGAAGGAGCTGGAAGGATTCTGGAATTCACAGATTCTACATCCTTACAGCTCAGAACCTGAACTACAAGGAATCTAGGATCCCAGGACCTCTAAACGGCTGGAAGTCCAGCGTCTTTCAAGCCGTGGGCCAAGATCCTGGGGTCCTGCGCCCTGAGACTCCAGAGCTCGGCATCTCAGAAGTGTAAGGAGTTCTTGAGCCTAGGCTGTTGGGAGCTAGATCCTTCCAGCCCTGGAACCTCGGAGCTGTCTAGTGCAAACCCTTTCTCCTTCACATCTCTAGCCTCGGGGGACAGCAACTATGGAGATGTAAGCCGTTGAACAGGCCCTAGGTTGAGGGACGGGAGGGCTGGCAGGATTGGGGCACAGAGCAGATCAGCAGGAGCTATCTTTCTGGAGGAGGTGGGAGGATAGGGGACAGAGGCTGGGGGACAGGAGAAGCCAGAAGTCACAATCCAGGAAGGACCGGGCGGGTCCCCGTGTGCCCAGCCTCCATGAGAACAGATCCGAATAATCTTATTAGCCTTACCGCCTGACAGCAGCACCAGCTTCTGGTCACCAGCTGCTGTTTCCTGCCACCCCCAGGGCTGAAGTCAGCTCTGGGGCCAGGCCCAGGCTGGGGTCAGACACAGGCCAAGAGGTAGAGCTGGCTGCAGGGCGAGGTGCTTGTTCCTCCAGAACCCGAGGGCTCTCAGCTGTCCTGTTCCAGGCTGTCTTCCGTCTGCGCCCACATCGCACACTGCACCCCAACCCAGGTGCTCAGAGCGGGGCTTGGCCTGGCTGAAGGGGTAAGGCAGGGGAGGGGAGGCCTAGAGCCAGCGTGAGCTGCAATCTTGGCCATCACTTCCTAGGGGAACGGTTCAAACAAGTCCCATCTCACTCAATGCCCACAGCAGCCCTCAAGGTGACTCTGTTTAACACCCCCTCCCTTTTTTTTTTTTGAGATGGAGGCTCGCTCTGCCGCCCAGGCTGGAGTGCAGTGGCACCCTCTTGGCTCACTATAACTTCTGCCCCCCAGGGTTCAAGCAATTCTCCTGTTCATACTCCTGAGCAGCTGGGATTACAGGTGTTTGCCACCATGCCTGGCTAATTTTTTACATTTGTAGCAGAGATGGGGTTTCACCATGTTGGCCAGGCTGGTCTTGATCTCCAGACCTCAGGTGATCCACCCGCCTCGGCCTCCCAAAGTGCTGGGATTACAGGCATGAGTCACCGTGCCTGGCCTGTTTATCCCCATTTTACAGACAAGAAAAACAGGCATGGGGCCGGGTGTGGTGGCTCACACTTGTAATCCCAGCACTTTGGGAGGCCAAGGCAGGCGGACCATTTGAGGTCAGGAATTTAAGACCAGCCCGGCCAACATGGTGAAACCCCATCTCTACTAAAAATACAAAAATCAGCTGGGAGTAGTGGGGTGACCTGTAATCTCAGCTGCTAGGGAGGCTGAGGCAGGAGAAGAGCTTGAACCCAGAAGTCAGACGTTGCAGTCAGCCGAGACTGTACCACTGCACTCCAGCCTGGGGACACAGCAAGACTCCATCTCAAAAAAAAAAAAAGAGTGAGAAAAAAACAGGCATACAGAAGTAACCAGCTGGGGTTTGAGACTGGAATGGGAGAATCTGATGGACACGCACTTAGAAGAGGATCAGGAGGTGGCCAGGCAGGGCCTTGAAGGCTGGGAAGTGAGGGGGTCTCCAGGTGAGGGGCATGGCCCAGGCATAGGAAGGGTAGGCAGGAAACTGGGTGATGTCCCCCAGAGCAAGGCGAGGTATAGCGGCCAGAAGGTAGGCCAGGGCCCGTTTGGGGTGGAGAGTAGTAAGTAGGTAGAGAAAAAAGGCCCCTGGCTCTGGATGCTGGAACCAGCCGAGGCAAGACAGGTCTGGATGGACACATGGCAGTTTCTTGAACTGGTGAGAGGGCACAGCAGGCCGACGGCAGGCCTGGCAGGCAGGAGCAGCTGGTGGTGCGTGTGTGCAGAACGTGTGATGGAGCCTGCCTCCTCCCAGGGCCAGTGCCAGGAGGACGGAAACCAGAGAGTCTGGAGCGGGTCAGGCCCAGGGCAAGCCAGGATCTGAGGTCTGCGGCACTTCCAGATGCAGGCCTGGGCCGGGAATGGTTGGTCACGCCTGTAATCCCAGCACTTTATGAGGCCGAGGTGGGCAGATCACTTGAGGTCATGAGTTTGACATCAGACTGGCCAACATGGCAGGTGCCTGTAATGCCACGTACTCAGGAGGCAGAGGCAGGAGAATCGCTTGAGCCTGGGAGGCAGAGTTGCAGTGAGCAGAGATCTCGTCACTGCGCTCCAGCCTGGGCAACCTGAGCAAGACTCCATCTCAAAACAACAACAATCACAAGTCCTAAAAAACAGATGCAGGCCCGGGCTGGCGAGTGTGGGAGACACCCATCACAGGCCCACTTCTGGTCTGCCCGGCGCTGGGAGTCCTGGCTGGGTGTGGGATGACTCAGCCACAGGCCCTGTGCTTGGGCTTCCCATGCCAGGTGGACAAAGCTGTTTGAGAACACTCTTCCTGGGTTGTGCCCTCTGAGCCCCTGTGTCCCCAGCTCTTGGCACGATAGTAAACTGTTGGTTAGGGTTTGTTGAATGAATAATAACACCAACAGCTATTTGAAGGCTTCCTGAGAGGCAGGCAGGGTGAACTGTCTCTTATCTTCCCATAAGGCCCCAACAAGGTCAAAGCGGTCATTTGATGAAGACTATCAAAGCTTTGCTAAGGAAAATCATGTTCTCAGGGTCACAGGGTGACTGACTGGTGAGTGGTGGAGATGAGTTTCAAAACTCATGCTCAGCTGGGGGCGGTGGCACATGCCTGTAATCGCAGCACCCTGGGAGGCCAAGGCAGACAGATCACTTGAGGTCAGGAGCTCGAGACCAGCTTGGCCAACATGGCGAAATTCCATCTCTACTAAAAGTACAAAATTAGCTGAGCGTGGTGGTGGTGTGCCCCTGCAGTCCCAGCAATTTAGGAGACTGAAGCAGGAGAATCGTTTGAACCTGGGAGGCAGAGGTTGCAGTGAGCTGAAATAGCACCACTGGACTCCAGCCTGGGCAACAGAGTGAGACTCTACCACACACACACACACACAAAAACCCTCAAAAAATACCATTCTCAGCCAGGTGTCATGGTTCATGCCAGTCATCCCAGCGCGTTGGGAGGCCAAGGTGCGAGGATCACTTGAGCACTCGAGTTTGAGACCAGCCTGGACAACATCGTGGGATCCTGTCTCTACAAAACAATAAAATAGTTGGGCATAGTGGCGAGCACTTGTGGTCCCAGTTATTTGGAAGGCTGAGGCAGGAGGATTGCTTAAGCCTGGGAGGTAGAGGTTTCAGTGAGCTGAGATCATGCCAATGAACTCCAGCCTGGGCAACAGAGTGAAACTCTGTCTCAAAATAACTAGGCTGCCCACAATGGCTCATGCCTGTAATCCCAGCACTTTGGGAGGCCGAGGCAGGCAGATCACCTGAGGTCAGGAGTTCGAGACCAGCCTGGTCAACATGGTGAAATCCCATCTCTACCAAAATACAAAAATTAGCTGGGCATGGTGGCGGGTGCCTGTAATCCCAGCTGCTCGGGAGGCTAAGGCACAAGAGTAGCTTGAACCTGGGAGGTGGAGGTTTCAGTGAGCCGAGATCACAGCATTGCACTCCAGCCTGGGCAACAGAGCAAGACTCCATCTCAACACCAACCAACAAAACCACAACATAACTGTGTACCCAAGTGCACACACAGTTCCATGAGCGCGCATTAAACACATACACACAATACACACACAAACACAATCACAATGCTGAGAAAAATGCTCACTTAGGTCACGTGGGCTGCACTAACCCTATACAGAGTCACAATCTGGTTATACATCCACAGTCCCCAGCACACCAGCCTCTCCCGGTGCCATTCTCTCTCCCCTCCTGGGTGTTGTGTGTCCCTGGGTCCGTCCCTAATCTGAGTAGTCTCTGAGCTATCCTTCCTCTTGGCCTGAGTCCTATTCCTCCTCCCTGCCTTTGATGGAGAGAGGAGGGCTGCTGACTCATGCTCCCAGGGCAGTTCCTTCCATAGCTCCTCCCATCCTGGAAGCCACCCCTCACAGCAAACACGGTGGGTGATTCCTCACCCCAAGGCACCTGGCCGGGGAGCAGAATCCCTTGAGGACCCTGCTGTGGGCTTGGCCCGTGGGCGCTAGCTGGGACCGCGGTGAAGCAGGAGGCTGGGTGTCAGGGGAAAGTGATTGAGGCTTATCCGGCACCAGTACAGACCTGGGGACCTTAGTCCCCTCATTAGGAGGGAGTCACAGTCACTGCCACCCCTACCTGCTCCTGATGCAGGAGCACAGAACCAATGCTGGGACTGCCAGGGCTCGTGGCTCCTAGTGGCATTGGTGGGGAAACTGAGGCCTGGGCCCAGGCGTGGTGGCCTGTAATCCCATAACTTTGGGAAGCCAGGGTAGGCAGAGTGCTTGAGTCCAGGAGTTCAAGACCAGCCTGGGCAACATAGTGAAACCCTATCTCTATAAAAATTAGGTAGGCGTGGTAGCAGGTGTCTGTCGTCCCAGGTACTTGGGAGGCTGACGTGGGAGGATTGCTTGAGCCCCAGAGGTGGAGGTTGCAGTGGTCCGAGATTGCAGCACTACACTCCAGCCTAGGTAACAGAGCGAGACCCTGTCTCAAAAACAAAAACAGCTGGGCACGGTAGTTCACCCCTGTAATCCCAGCACTATGGGATGCCAAAGCAGGCGGATCACCTGAGGTCAGCAGTTCAAGACCAGTCTGGCCAACATGGTGAAACCCTGTCTCTACCAAAAACACAAAAATTGGGCGCAGTGGCACACGCATGTAAGCCCAGCTACTCTGGAGGTTGAGGCACGAGAATCGCTTGAACCTGGGAGGTGGAGATTGCAGTGAGCTGAGATCATGCCACCGCACTACAACCTGGGTAACAGAGCAAGACTCCATCTCAAAACAAAAACAAAAAGAAACAGATTTAAAAAAAAAAGTAAGAACGAATTTGAGGCCCTGAAGGGATGGGGGTTTGCCTGAGGTCCCACTGGGCATGGGAGCAGAGGGGACTTCCTGAAGTTAATCGTCCTTGTGGTGACAGGAAGCGAGAAGAAGGAGGCTCCGGGAACTAAAGCCCGCCTCCCCCTCTCCACCGACGCAACTCCCCTGATGCCGAAATAAGACGCACGCCTGCCAGGCATTACCCTTCATTAATATGATATAACTTCCTGAGTTCCCTCTGGTCTGTCTGGGGACCAGACAGCATGAGACGGGACCACGTGGCAAGACCTGGAGCCCCTATACACAAGCGCCCCCAGAGCAGGGCTGTGGGGTCCCTCAGGGAGCCATGGTGGGGCTGGAACTTGGGCATCCATCCTGCCGGAAGCTGTGGATGCCAGCTGGACATGGGTGATAGGGAGATGGAGGGAAGGGGCAAAAGGGTTGTGGTCACACAGCAGGGGACAGAGACGGCATGACTGCAGCTGCCCACAGTCCAGTCGCTGGGTCGGACTCGTCCCTCCTGGCCTTGAACACGAGACATCTGCACAGGCTCTCTCCTTGTTACAAAGACCAACCTCGGGCTGGGTGGGGTGGCTCACGCCTGTAATCCCAGCACTTTGGGAGGCGGAGGTGGGCGGATCACGAGATCAAGAGATCAAGACCATCCTGGCCAACATAGTGAGACCCTGTCTCTAATAAAAATACAAAAATTAGCTGGGCATCGTGGCGCGTGCCTGTAGTCCCAGCTACTAGGGAGGCTCAGCCAGGAGAATCACTTTAACCTGGGAGGCGGAGGTTAGTTAGCCAAGATCATGCCACTGCACTCCAGCATGGGTGACAGAGCAAGACTCCGTCAAAAAAAAAAAAAACCCAAAAAACAAAAAACAAAGATTAATCTGGGATACCCTTCAGGCCAAGGCTGGCCACCAGCCCTATGAGGCCTGCGCTACCCCATGCACAGAGGAGGAGGCTGAAATCTATCAGCTCCCTCTCCTTGGCTGGGGACATCACACAGCAAGCACAAAGATGGCTGGATGGGAACAGGAAGCCAAGATGAATGGATTCGAGACTGCCTCCCTGACAAACAGCTCGGCTCAGGGAGGTTCTCCAAGGTTTTATCCGGCCCTTTTGGGCTCGGAGGCTGCCTGGAAGCCACAGACTCCATGGGAAGGGAGACCCGTGAACACTGTGCAGGTAGCGGGAACACGTGATCTGTCGCACTGGCCCCAGGCTACAACTGCAGTGGCCTGGCTGTGTTTGGGGAGGGTGGGAGAGACATAGCAGCAATGCTGGAGCTGTGAACAGCTTCCTGTGGTCCAAAGAGGAAGGTCAGGGTCACCTCTTGAAGGTCAGGGTCACCAGAGCTTAGCCTGGGGCCTAGGGGTGAGTAGAGGGTGGCCCAGTGCTACCCGTTCATGATGTGCCATGGGAATCACCCGAGCCTGTCTCTGACACCTGGACACCAAATTCGCCCCTTCATGCTTCCTTCCTGGGTATCTGCAGGGCGAGCTGGGTGCCCAGGGACAGGCTCGAGGGACTGGCATGCCTTTCTCTGACCAAGCTTCCTTCCTCAGCTTTCTGGAAGGAGTGAATTGTGTCCCGGGACCAGAACTCTCAGTGGTGTCTGGAAAATACTGCATCAGGGAGGAATTTCCTGGTCATTTCTCAACCCCTGGGCAATGTCCTAACCCCCGGGGCCTGGAGCCCAGAATAGATCCCAGAGGCCACCCTGAGACAGGCCAGGCCAAGGCCACCCCATTGAAGCCTGGTCAACTGTGCCCTTCAGGTCCCTCCTAGTGGCCCCCTACTACCCCAGGAGGCTCCAACCCTAAGTGATGGTGACTCAGGAATTCCTCACCCAGGCCAGGGAGGGAGACACTGGGGGAGGGAGGAGACCCGTGTGTGGAGAGGTGGCAGGTGGCTCAGTGATGGGAACCAAGAGAGGATGTGGGAAGGAGGGTGGAGGCAGCGGCGGGAGATGTACGTCCTGGGTCAAGCAGGCGGACGGGGAGCGGGGAGTGTGCCAGGGGGGCCCCTGGAGAACAGTGAGGGAGGGCGGGGCAGAGAGAGGAAATGAAAAAGCTGGGGTGAGCAGGCAAGCTGAGGAGGGTGGGAGGGAGGGAAAGAGGGAGGGAGGAGAGAAGGAGAAGCTGACACACAGACTAACACAACAGCCGGAGACACGCGGAGCAAAGCGAGTGAAGGGACAGACGTGCACGAGGGACAAGACAGCCGGGGCGAGCCTGGAGAGGTGCGGTGAGGAGGGGCTGGGGAGGCAGCGGCGGAGAGCAGGAGCGGGCAGAGGGTGTGGGGTTGGAGGGAGAAAGGTGCTGGGAGGACAAGGACAAAGGAAGGGACAGAGACAGGGAGATAACAGCAAGAGACAGAGAGACAGAGAGGGACAAAACTGGCGATGCCTGGATGTTCTCTGTCTCTTTAATGGCAGAGACAGCTAGAGAAGGAAAGCAATAGGAGGCGGGGGGTGCCAGGCGCAGTGGCTCACGCCTGTAATCTCAGCAGTTTGGGAAGCTGAGGTGGATGGATCACCTGAGGTCAGGAGTTCGAGACCAGCCTGACCAACATGGTGGAACCCCATCTCTACTAAAAATACAAAAATTAGCTGGGCGTGGTGGCTGGTGCCTGTAATCTCATCTACTCCGGAGCCTGAGGCAGGAGAATGGCTTGAACCCAGGAGGCAGAGATTGCAGTGAGCCAAGATCATGCCATTGCATTCCAGCCAGAACGACAGAGAGAGACTCTGCCTCAAAAAAATTTAAAAAAGAAAGAAAGAAAAAAGAAATAGGAAGGTTGGGGAGAGACACACACACACACAGAGATACCGCAGGCTCTAGAGGGAAGAGGACCACATAGGCACACACAGGAAAACCAGGGGGTTGGCTAGGAGGCCCCAGCTGCCATAAGGACGGGCCAGCAGGGACATGAGTGGGCTGGGTGGTGGGGGTAGCCCTGGTTCCCTCTGACCCCCACCTCCCACCTTGGGAACCCTCCAGCCCGGCTCTGGGATGGCAGATTCGTGCAGGAACCTCACCTACGTGCGGGGCTCGGTGGGGCCGGCCACCAGCACCCTGATGTTCGTGGCCGGCGTGGTGGGCAACGGGCTGGCCCTGGGCATCCTGAGCACGAGGCGACCGGCGCGCCCCTCGGCCTTCGCGGTGCTGGTCACCGGGCTGGCGGCCACCGACCTGCTAGGCACCAGCTTCCTGAGCCCGGCCGTGTTCGTGGCCTACGCGCGCAACAGCTCCCTGCTGGGCCTGGCCGGGGGCGGCCCCGCGCTGTGCGACGCCTTCGCCTTCGCCATGACCTTCTTCGGCCTGGCGTCCATGCTCATCCTCTTCGCCATGGCGGTGGAGCGCTGCCTGGCGCTGAGCCACCCTTACCTCTACACGCAGTTGGACGGGCCCCGCTGCGCCCGCCTGGCGCTGCCCGCCATCTACGCCTTCTGCGTCCTCTTCTGCGCGCTGCCCCTGCTGGGCCTGGGCCAGCACCAGCAGTACTGCCCGGGCAGCTGGTGCTTCCTGCGCATGCGCTGGGCGCGGCCCGGCGGCGCCGCCTTCTCGCTCGCCTACGCGGGCCTCGTGGCGCTGCTGGTGGCGGCCATCTTCCTCTGCAACGGCTCCGCCACCCTCAGCCTCTGCCGCATGTACCGCCAGCAGAGGCGCCACCAGGGCTCGCTGGCTCAGCGCCCCCACACCGGAGAGGACGAGGTGGACCACCTGATCCTGCTGGCCCTCATGACGGTGGTCATGGCCGTGTGCTCCCTGCCTCTCACCGTGAGTCGCCTCCCGAGCTGGGGGGAGTCGGGGGAGGAGGAGGGCAGCAATGTGGCTTGTGGCCCTGTCACAGATGGGGAGGCTGAGGCTCAAAAGAAGTCGGACTTGACAGGCCTGTAGTGGCTCACGCCTGTAATCCCAGCACTTTGGGAGGCCGAGGCAGGCGGATCACCTCCTGAGGTCAGGAGTTCCTGACCAGTGTGGCCAACATGATGAAACCCCGTCTCTACTAAAAATACAGGAAAAAAAAAAAAAAAAAAAAAAGCTGGGCGTGGTAGCGCATGCCTGTAGTCCCAGCTACTTGGGAGGCTGAAGCAGAAGAATTGCTTGAACCCCAAACGCAGAGGTTACAGTGGGCCGAGATAGTAACCACTGCCTGGGTGACAGAGTCAGACTCCATCTCAAAAAAAAAAAAAAAAGAGAAAAAAGAAAGGTGAGGCGGGAGGATCACTTGAGCCCAGAGGTTTGAGACCCGCCTGGGCAACACAGTGAAAAACCCCGTCTCTAGCAAATATTTTAAAAAGTAGCCTGGCATGAAGGCCTGTGATCTCAGCTACTTGGGAGGCTGAGGTGGGAGGACTGCTCTGGCCTGGGAAGTTGAGGCTGTAGTGAGTTACACCACTGCATCTCAGCCTAGTTGACAGAGCGAGACCCTGACTCAAAATGAAAACAAAAACAGAGCCGGGCGCGGTGGCTCAAGCCTGTAATCCCAGCACTTTGGGAGGCCGAGGCGGGTGGATCACGAGGTCGAGAGATCGAGACCATCCTGGTCAACATGGTGAAACCCCGTCTCTACTAAAAAGTGCAAAAAATTAGCTGGGCATGGTGGCACGTGCCTGTAATCCCGGCTACTCAGGAGGCTGAGGCAGGAGAATTGCCTGAACCCAGGAGGCGGAGGTTGCGGTGAGCCGAGATCGCGCCATTGCACTCCAGCCTGGGTAACAAGGGCGAAACTCCGTCTCAAAAAAAAAAAAAAAAAAAAAGCCGGGCGCGGTGGCTCAAGCCTGTAATCCCAGCACTTTGGGAGGCCGAGGCGGGTGGATCACGAGGTCGAGAGATCGAGACCATCCTGGTCAACATGGTGAAACCCCGTCTCTACTAAAAATACAGAAAATTAGCTGGGCATGGTGGCGCGTGCCTGTAATCCCAGCTACTCAGGAGGCTGAGGCAGGAGAATTGCCTGAACCCAGGAGGCGGAGGTTGCGGTGAGCCGAGATCGCGCCATTGCACTCCAGCCTGGGTAACAAGAGCGAAACTCCGTCTCAAAAAAAAAAAAAAAAATTAGAAAACAAAAACAGATCAGACAGAGGCTTGGTCCTGTGTCAGACAGCTCCCGGCTTTCTGGAGAAGTCTTTCTGCCTCTGACTTCTTCTGACACCTTATCTCCCAGCTTAGGCATCCGGAGACCCCCATAAGCAAAAAGCATCCCCCATCCTTCCCCTACCCCTGTAATGACAAGATCACCCTCACTGAGCGCGTCTCGATGCCTGCCTGTGCGTAGTGGCTTACTAATACTTTCTAAGATAATCTTCAGAATGACCACAGACACCCATTCTACAGCATTTGGCAGGAAACCGAGAGAACGCCGTCTCCTGCCCTCACTTTTACAGATGAGGGGCAGTATCTCTTGCCCAGGGTCACACGGACCTGGGTCTTGATCCTGGGTCCTTCAAGTGCAGAGCCTGATCTCCCACCCACCTGGCTCCCCTCTGCCTCAGCGCAGGCCCCACCCTTGCCTCTGCACCTTAGTTTCCTAGGGGGACTCCTGTCCTGCCCCTTCCAAAGAGAGCGGCACAGACCCCATTACACACTCAGTGTCTGTGACACCTGGTCATGCCACCGTTCTTCTGAGCCTCAGTTTCTCCTTCTGTAAAATGCAAGAGCCCAGGCTGGATTTGGGGGGGGTCCTTACATCTTTTTGGGAGGTTACCTTGACTCAGAGACTCAGATGCTGTGGACAGATATACACAGGCATCACCACAGGTCTGCGGCAGTTTCAGGGGGACCCAGGAATGTTATACTCAAAAATCTATGTCGCCTGAGGGTCTTCCCACCTTCTAAGGGTGGGGGGACACACATACCCAGCCGCCCTCCCTGGCCCCTTAGGCATCTCTGGCAATTTCCTGGGGCTTTCTCTCCCTGTGTTCCCCGGATGCGTTTGTTACTTAGTTTTCATCTTATCTTATTTCCTTCCCCTCTGCATGCCACCCCTCCCTCATCCCTGCCAGTAAGCAAGTGGGGGGAGGGAGGCAGGGTGGGGAGACGGAGGGCTCCTGGGTGCCCCTTGACACCCTCACCCTGCCCTCAGATCCGGTGCTTCACCCAGGCCGTCGCCCCTGACAGCAGCAGCGAGATGGGGGACCTCCTCGCCTTCCGTTTCTACGCCTTCAACCCCATCCTGGACCCCTGGGTTTTCATCCTTTTCCGCAAGGCGGTCTTCCAGCGACTCAAGCTCTGGATCTGCTGTCTGTGCCTTGGGCCTGCCCATGGTGACTCGCAGACACCTCTTTCCCAGCTCGCCTCAGGGAGGAGGGACCCAAGGGCGCCCTCCGCTCCTGGGGGAAAGGAGGGGAGCTGGGTGCCTTTGTCGGCCTGGGGTGAGGGGCAGGTGGCACCCTTGCCTCTGGCACAGCAGTGCGGCGGCAGTACTGTGGGAACATTGTCCAAAGCAGAGGCCAGTGTCGCCTGCTCCCTCTGCTGACATCTCGAGCCGACCCTGTGATCTCTGCCCTGTCTTTGAGGGACAGGAGCCGGAAAATCAGGGACATGGCTGATGGCTGTGGATGCTGGAACCTTGACCCCCAAACTCGGGGGCTGATCGGCTGCTGTTTCTCCTGCTGCAGGGCGGTCGCTGCTGGCTCTGGGAGGAGAGTGAGGGACAGAGGAAACGTTTATCCTGGAGCACAGAAAGAATGGTTCTCTCAAAATAGCCAGTGGCCTGGCCGAACTGCTCCAGGCCCTGGATTCCCCATCCATCTCACTGTCTAAATATTTAGAAGGCAGAGAAGTTCCCAGCGGCTTCTGTACACTCAGGTCTGCTCCGCTCTGGGTACTGGCTCCCATCTACATCCACTTAGGGGGCCCAGCTGCCCACTCGAAGTCCCCAGGGGATGGCCCTCCCCTCTCCCAAGCCACTCCAAGAGCCAGCCCCGCTCTGCTCCACAAAAGCCAGGGTTCTCGGAAAAACTCCCTGCCTTCCCTTGCTGCTGGTCCCCCATCAGACTTGGGAGTCCTGGCACCCCAAAGAGGAAGGGGAGGCTGTGGCATTGTGAGTGACAACACAGGTCATGTGCTTGGTAAAGGGCCTGAGACATTCCATCTAGCTTGGTGGGTTGCGAGACGGGAACTGTGGGGGTGCAGGTGGCGGGGAGACAGATGGAGAAGCTGGCAGATGAAGGCTGGGGTCTGTGGATTCCAGGGACTGGCCCCAGAAGGCAGACCTAAGTCCTGTACCTGTCCCTAGGGTCCTGAATTAATAAACGCCTCCTTACAGAGCCTGACCTCATGTTATGTGTCCTTGGAGCCCTCACAAAGATTTCATTCAGTCAGTCATTCAACAGATACATTGCTGGGCGCCATAGCACATGCCTGTAATCCCAGCACTTTGGGAGGCTCAGGTGAGAGGATCACTTGAGCCCAGGAGTTTGAGACCAGCCTGGGCAATAGATTGAGACCTTGTCTCTGTAAAAAAATTTTAAAAATTACCTGGGCGTGGTGGTGCGCACCTGCAGTCCCAGCTCCTGGGGAGGTTGAGAAAAGAGGATCGCCTGAGCCTGTGAGGTTGAGGCTGCAGTGAGTTGAGATCATGCCACTAGGTGACAGAGTGACACTGTCTCAAAAACAAAAAAGAAAAAACCTTCAAAACCCGCCAAAATTCAGCAGCACTGACTGCCTGGGGTTGAGGACACGGACAAGCCTCTGCCCCACCCTGGGCCCTGCCGGGGTGATTTCCAGCCTCCCATCCCCACCCACTTCTCATGACCACTCCCCGCCCTCCAAGAGGCCCAGGATGGAGGGTGCTCAGGAGTGAGCTGACTGGCATGGAAGGAAGTGAGTAGGCGTTTAGGGTGGGGGAGGGTGGATGGGAACTCCCACCACCCAGCCTCAGCCTCACTGCACTGCCTGCCCTAGTTCCCCTTTCTTTCTCGCCCCCTGTGTTAAAACAAAAAAAATCCACACTTGGGGAGGGGCGTGGTAGGTGAGGCCTGAGCCTCCCAAGAGGACAACAGCTGCCAGCTCCTCCAGGGGTGGGAGCGTGGGTGGTGCTTCCTCTCACTCCATCCACAGGGCAGCCTATTATAAATCCTTTTTTTTTTCTCTGAGATGGAATCTCGCTCTGTTGCCCCGGCTGGAGTACAGTGGCACCATCTTGGCTCACTGCCAACCTCTGCCTCCCCAGTTCAAGTGATTCACCTGCCTCAGCCTCCCTGAGTAGCTGGGATTACAGGCATGCGCCACCACCCCTGGCTAATTTTTTGTATTTTTAGTAGAGGTGGGGTTTCGCCATGTTGGCCAGGCTGGTCTCAAACTCCTGACCTCAAATGATCCTCCCACCTCGGCTTCCCAAAGTGCTTGGATTACAGGCATAAACCTCTGAGCCCGGTTATAAGTTCTTTCTATGGAGGTTGGAGTCCAGGTCCAGAGATGATAATCCACCTGCCCCAGCTCACACAGGGAGCCGGTGTGGGCGTGGAGAAGGCCGTCTATCCACTCCGGGACACCTCGGTTTCCTTATGATCATAATCTAGTATTTAGTTCACGGGGCGGCTTTGAGGATTAAGCAATTCCCTCTGAAAAGCAATTTAGCTCGGGCCTTGGAATAAAGCCCAGAAGAAACGTCACCATGATCGCCATTGCTGTAGCTGTTGCTATTGTTATTCGGGCAGATACAATTTAAAGACAAAGCACCTTCCAGGTGTTTTGACTTTTTTCTTTCTTTTTTTTTGAGACGGAGTTTCGCTCTTGTTACCCAGGCTGGAGTGCAATGGCGCGATCTCGGCTCACCGCAACCTCCGCCTCCTGGGTTCAGGCAATTCTCCTGCCTCAGCCTCCTGAGTAGCTGGGATTACAGGCACGCGCTACCATGCCCAGCTAAATTTTTTGTATTTTTAGTAGAGACGGGGTTTCACCATGTTGACCAGGATGGTCTCGATCTCTTGACCTCGTGATCCACCCGCCTCGGCCTCCCAAAGTGCTGGGATTACAGGCGTGAGTCACCGCGCCTGGCCTTTTTTTTTGAATCCCTTCAATAACCATGTTTCAGATCACCATAAAGCAGAATAAGGGTTGTCTGGGAGGTGAAAAACAGGTTAAGGTGATGGATGAATGAGGTTGGGATTACCCTTTGGGGTGATGAAAATGTTCTGGAATTGGATAGAAGTGAGGGTTGCTCAACAGTATGAGTGCACTAGATGTTACTGAATTGTAACTTTGAATGGTGAAAATGGCAACTTTTATGTTATATGTATCTTACTGCAATTTAAAAAAATAATAAGTAGGCAGATAGAGGTGGTTCCAACCAGTAATCCCAGCATTTTGGGAGGCTAAGGCGGGAGAATCCTGTGAGCCCAAGAGTTCAAGACCAGCCAGGGCAACGTATCGAGACCCCGTTTCTACAAATAACCATTTAAAAAAAATTAGCCAGGTGCTGGCTGGGCGTGGTGGCGCTCACACCTGTAATCTCAACACTTTGGGAGGCTGAGGTAGGTGGATTACCTGACTTCAGGAGTTTGAGACCAGCCTGGCTAACATGGTGAAACCCCATCCCTACTAATAATACAAAAATTAGCCAGGCATGATGGTGGGCGCCTGTAATCCTGGCTATTTGGGAGGCTGAGGCACGAGAATTGCTTGAACCCAGGAGGCAGAGGTTGCAGTGAGCTGAGATAGCGCCACTGCACTCCAGCCTGGGTGACAGAGAGAAACTCTATCTCAAAAGCAAACACATAAACAGACAAAAAAATAGCTGGGTGTGGTGATATATGCCTGTAGTCCCAGCCACTCAGAAGGCTGAGGTGGGAGAATCACTGGAGCCTATGGGGACTGGTGATCACACCCCTGTACTCCAGCCTGGGCAACAGAGTGACGCCCCGTCTCAAAAAAAAAAAAAAAAAAGTGGTACTGAAAAAAAAATGTGAGGTAGGTATTTAGAAACTTCTTTTTTTTTTTTTTTTTTTTTTTGAGATGGAGTTTCACTCTTGTTACCCAGGCTGGAGTACAATGGCGCAATCTTGGCTCACCGCAACCTCCGCCTCCTGGGTTCAAGCAATTCTGCTGCCTCAGCCTCCTGAATAGCTGGGATTACAGGCACGCACCACCATGCCCAGCTAATTTTTTGTATTTTTAGTAGAGACGGGGTTTCACCATGTTGACCAGGATGGTCTCGATCTCTCGACCTCGTGATCCACCCGCCTCGGCCTCCCAAAGTGCTGGGATTACAGGCTTGAGCCACCGTGCCCGGCGGTATTTAGAAACTTCTATAGCAGTCTTGCAGAGTAATTATTATATTGGTTGAATTTAATAATTCAAAAAAGTCGGCTGGGCACGGTGGCTCACGCCTGTAATCCCAGCACTTTGGGAGGCCGAGGTGGGTGGATCACCTGAGGTCAGGTGTTTGAGACCAGCCTGGCCAATATGGTGAAATTCCATCTCTACTAAAGATGCAAAAACTAGCCCGTTGTGGTAGCGCACATTTGTAGTCCGAGCTACTTAGGAGGCTGAGGCACGAGAATGGCTTGAACCCGGGAGGCAGAGGTTGCAGTGAGCCGAGATGGTCGCTCCAATCTGGCCAACAGAGGAAGACTGTCTAAAAAAAAAGAAAGAAAAAAGAAAGTCCACTTGTTAAAAGCACAATACAACAGGTTGACAGACATCAGATTGGGACCTGCCTTTGTCACCAAGCCTGGCCAGACCTTGGCCAACCCTCTGAGCCCCAATAGAGGATGGTGAGAAAGGGATGGGGGGGTCTGGAGAGAGCACTGAAGGGTGCTCACCTCCTTTCTCTGTGTCACCCCGAAGGTGGGTCGTTTCTGCCCGTCTGACCTCCGAGGGGTCTCTGGGTAGCAAGGCAGAGCCAAGCGTTGGAGCCACAGCATCCTTGCCGGGGTGGGTGCCACTCTCATTCCCATTTTTTCAATGAGGATTTAGGGGAAGTGAGGACGCACCGCGGAAGCTGCGGTTCTGCAGGCTCTTGGCCCCCAGGCCTGACATTGTACTGTTTACTGCAGATCCCTCCCCTCACCCCACCTCCGACCTGGGTGTCTACACTAACAGGCCAGGGGTTTTCAGACAATGCCCCCGTCCACCCCTTGCCCCTCGGGGGTGATTTGGAAATACCTCCTAGCTGGGATCCTGGCCCCTGACTGCCCTAGTTCATCCTCTCTGCCAGCTGCCCGGGTCCTGTCCGGAGAGCTCCATCTGGCAGCACTGCCAGCCTTGCAAAGCTCCCAGGGCTCAGGCGTCCCTGGAGGCTCCAGGCCTGTGCCCGTGCTCCCACTCCCCTGCAGGCCTTGGCTGAGGCCACATCAGATGGTTGCGGTTTCCCCAGAGAAGCCATGACAGTTTGGGCCCTCACATCTTTGCTTATTGAACTCACTCTTCCTGGAGCCGTTTTTTCCTTTTCCATCTGTCAAAAACACCCTTACCCTTCAAATTCTTTCTTACGCGTTTCCTCCTTGAAGATGCAACCGCTCCTCTCTCGACTGGCCCTCAGAACTTTTTCCGGTCCACGATGGCATTGGCCTAGCCTCCCATGGACGTGTGTCTGCTCACCCGCTCCGCAGGGTCTTGTTGAGGGCCTGTTGTATGTCAGGGCTTGTCCCTGCAATGTTGGGGGATATGGCAGTGACAGAGATAGACCTGGCCATAGTTCAGTGGGGGAGACAGCCCTGTCCGCAGAGTGGGTAGGAAGCAGGGTGGAAGGGTGTCTAGGCCGGGGGGCTTCTAGGAGGAGGGGTTGGCTGAGCCGGGACCTGAGTTTTAGAAGAAAGTGAGCCACGTTGAGAGAAGTGTTTCTGGCCAGGCACAGTGGTTCACGCCTGTAATTCCAGCACTTTGGGAGGTCGAGGTGGATGGATCACAAGGTCAGGAGTTTGAGACCAGCCTGACTAACATGGTGAAACCCCATCTCTACTAAAAGCAAAAAAATTAGCCGAGCATGGTGTTGCACACCTGTAGTCCCAGCGACTCAGGAGGCTGAGGCAGGAGAATCGCTTGAACCTGAGAGGCGGAGGTTGCAGTGAGCCGAGATCACACCATTGCACTCCAGCCTGGTGACAGAGTAAGACTCTGTCTCAAAAAAAAAAAAAAAAAAAAAAAAAAAAAATTAGCTGGGCATAGTGGCATGCACCTGTAGTCCTAGCTAGTTAGGAGGCTGAGACAGGAGAATCGCTTGAACCCCGGGAGGCAGAGGTTGCAGTGAGGTGAGATTGTGCCACTGTACTCCAGCCTGGGCAACAGAGCAAGACTCTGTCTCAAAAAAAAAAAAAAAAGAGAAGCATTT